TTCTTGTTTACTGCTTTCCTTCGCATACTTAGAATGGTATATTACGTGCAAACGCATATCCAGTGATAGAACATTAGCTCGCATGCATAGATCCTCTTCTGAGAAGTAGACAGACATAAGCCATCCAAAAATACTTACGTTCCATCCACAGTACTTTCCTCACGCACGTATCTCGCAAATCTATCTCTCCCCATCCTTTAGTAATCCACCTAAGGGTTTCTGTCGGTGGACTAATCTCTTAAGATCACCTCTTAAGACTCAAGGGCGAGTTCTTCTAGACTGTATTGCATTTTTGATATTAGCTCGTGGCAAAACATGTGTTGTAACCTTGACTTGTTTTAAACCCTTGCCTCTAGAAGTGAAGTGGGTTGAAATCTTCATGAACATCAAGTGCGTGCTAGAGTAGCAAGTTTTGTAAGCCGGTTATTATTCTCATACATGCATTCTAATTATTCCTTGATAAGCCTGCACTAATTATTCCTTGATGAGCTTGCACGAAACTCGCGAAGTATGAGGATTTCCTTGTCGAGGTTTTGATCACAATCATAAAAGTTTTTTGTCTTCATAATTATAGTGCACTGTGAGACGTGCTGAGTGCTGATAAAGAACGCATTGAAATGTCACTACTAATCATAGTCAATTAGAAAGTACTCCAGTAGGCACATGTGGAAGATTCCAACCACGTCACAAGAGATGTACCCGCGCATGAAAAAGTAGAGATCCATGGCGAAGTATGGCGACTGTCTTTACCTCGGGTTGATCCTAAGATGGATGGGTACAGAACACATAAAGCCTGGAGGATAACATCAGTGCAAGCAGCGAAATAACACAAAACGCAACGTACAGTAATTTACCAGTGAAGATTGCCACAAAATGTCAACGAACGAGCATCTAGGAGTCACTCAGACCATACGAGTGACATTTATAAGGTATTTGGTCTCACATTCAGAGGCTTTGGAAGATAAAGTATCGATTTTGGTGCCCGATTCTCTCGCTCGCGTGGCAGTCTAATGACATTTTGACTTTGAAGCCTGCCGTCGTGATTGTGTATCATTATCTGTATAATCATAAGTAATACCGCCGCGTTCCCTGCTATCCGCCCGCTGGGATGTTGTTATTTGCAAGATCACATACTGTCGTACACTCCGGGGGTTATTCGTCTCAGTGTAGTCTGCAGTTGAATGTTTGCAGACTGAATAGTTAAAGAAATCCGTTTTTCATCACGATGGTACAAACGTTACAGGCTCTGCTACATGGTTAATAGTGAGTGCCCGGTTAATGAACTTGCTAGTTGTTTGACAGAGCAGCCACTTGTCTATGGCTGAAATCACCTTAGGTTATTTACCTATAATCACAACTATATACAGATGTTGCATTTTACAAAATTGTGACAGGTTTGAGAAAGTTGACACCTAGTCCTCTCTGAAAACACTGCAAAGATCTTATAATAAAGAAAAGCACAAGAAAGTATTTAACTAAATGTATATCTCCTTTACTCCTTCCCTCTTTCATTCCCCTCTCTGTTGCTGTCTCTCCATCAATCTCTCCATCCATCTCCTAATTTCACCCATCCATCCATCCATCCATCTATTAATCATTCTATCCATGAGCCGGGGCAGATAAGTCTGAATCATGTATTCGCACAACGTTGATGCCCGCAGCCCTTTAATTTGTTTCCCAGATCCGGCAATTCTCCCCCAAATGACGGAAGATGCGTGGAATAGAATCTGTCAGCGTCTCATTTTTCCCCATATTATAAAACGCAGCCGTGTTTCATGAAATAATTCTCACGTAATGACGACGATTCCTCAGCACGCCTGCCCGTATTACCACCCTGATCCTCTCAGCGCTATGCTCGAGTCGCTCTCGTCACTTCCCGTGATCAGGGAAAATCGGGGGCAAATCGCCTAATCACACACAGTAGTGATGAATCGATTTGGTGTAAGCGTGTTTTACTAATCGTCTATTAAAAGGTACTAAGTTACCAGAATGATGTATACTGCCAACAGGCATTTTTCCAAGGATATTTCCCATCATAATTATCATGTTGCCTCTTCCTCTTCTAGAGTATTTCATGTCAATACATAAAACGAAGATGTGCTACTTGTAGTTAAACAAATTGAGTTAATTGGACAAGTATCCTAGTTATTCAATAAAGTATTATGCTGCAAAAACAAATGCGCCAACATATAACGGCAGGACTTTAATGTTGGTGCATCTGCCCTGTCACACGTACCATTTGCACCCAATAACCTACCACTTGTAGCCTGCAGCCTGCTTTACTCAAAAGTACCACGACGAAGCGATTCCCATGGGACGAAGTCTCAAATAAAACCCCTGCATGTTTGAGGGACTGAAACGTTGAAGATCCGTTACCAGGAAGTCTAGCTTGTGAGGAAGATCGATCGACATGTACCGTTTTTACGGTATTCTGCTGGGTTCACGTTGTTGTGAATAGGCGACCCTGCGGCGTATTTCCACATATATGGATTCTCCTGATTTACGACACCCAGCGGTACAGGTATAACTGTAGTTTGAATTACGAACCTCGCATTATTATCTAACTTCACCAAAGAGAGAGGAGGTACCGCTGGGAAAAGTCAAATAGGTCCAAAATTAATGATCTGAAAATTACACACCATCCTGCGCAGCGTGCGGCCGTGAACAGACCTTTGCTGGTGAGATTTCCGTGCCTAATGTCGTTCAGAGTTGACCGGTGTTGAACTTGTCATTAAGCCGTCCGTTGGGACGCGGCATTGTTCTGGCTGATGGTGCTGAAAGGTTATCCGGGCATATCACACGTCTGGCGTATCCCGAGTGACAGCGACCAACAGGTGCGTGGTAAAGGAGGCTACTGTTTTGTTTGTTTCATGTCGTTGACATTGTGCATGTGTGGCACCATAATTACGAAGAGTTTTGCGTTTTCTGTTTCATTTTGATTCACCTCTCACCTCTTTGATTCATATACTCCACATCCTCTAGTGTCGCGACATATTTGTATTTCTAGATCCTCTGGCACTGCCTCCATTTTTGATAATAATTGAAACTGAAATCGCCCTTTTAGATTTTTCTTTCCTATTCTGATCCATTTTTGAACGTCCATTTCAAGACAACATTTGGTATTATGATTGTGTTTACTTTGGTCATCATATATTCTGTACACATGCGCAGCACGTTTTGAGGTCACAGTCAATTAGATCGCAACGAATGCATGGTTCGTAGATCATCAATGCGTTGCGTTGAAGTTCAGCTTTTCAATCTATGGAATCCTTTCAACGGATGAAGTAGCCATTCTCATGATTGTAATTAGAACCTATTGTCTGCTATACGTGGTAGAGCCAGACAGTCTCTTCTCATTTTCAGTGTTGTCTCTACGGACCCCCGTATTTTACGGTTGTATGTATAGTATATAGTATAGAGACGGCAATAACAATTGTGCCTAGGATTTCAGCACCAAGGACAGATACTATTTCTTCCCGATAGCCTTTTACGCTATCTTTTAGAGCGACAATAACATCCTTTCTGGGGTCTATGGCCACTCGATTACAAGACACATGTCTTCGACTTGTCTATAGTGGCACTCCTCTATTGTTATGTCTGAGAAATACACAGCCATGGCGGGTTGATGCCACCAAAGCTGGGCGCATTTGCGTCCACTACAAAATGATTGATTCTAAAGCCAGGCCATCGCATTTCTCTGCTCAACGTCGTTATAACGAAGACAAAGTACCCACACGGGAAGAACATGAGCTAGGTACAATCAAAACACGAAACTCTCTACCTACATCTCAATACTTATGTCTGGCTTTTATGCATGCATTGTCCTGATAGTTTGTGCTTATCTCTGTCATATATAATTTGCTATGAAACGTTCAACTCTTTCCATTAGCTTGTACGTACTTAGAGACCTCTATAGAAAATATTAACGCTATAATTGCCCAGGCAAAGAGTTAAACAAACTTAGAACAGTGTGGAATCTGGTGGAGGTACATTATCACTTAGCAGCGTGGCTGTGCCATAAGCCCAGAGAGCAGGTACCCCAGACGATTGCCCCAGTTGTGAAAGCTATTGTTCAGATAATGGGAAACTGTGTCATACGGTGGAAACACAGCACGAAATGAATTGTCCATGCGCACCACTACCTGTTGTTCGAAAAATAACATCGCATCAAATGTCTTTGAAAAGATGAAGATACAATATATTGGCCATCATTTGCATACTAACAACCGCACTGATGTGCCAGTTTTATAACCTTTCAACACATTAGAACATTTGCGTAGATATACGCGCTTTAATTATCAGAAAAAAAACTAATAGTGTGGGAGTGTGACTTGTTATTTACAGCATTCGCACCTTAGCTGCATATACATGAGCTCTTCGTTCCCGTTCTCAGGCTACTCTTAATCGATTTTCCGCACGCAGTGCGTACATTTGTACTGACACTAT